ATATCATCCATACTCGCTACAAATGTCACCCGTACTCGCTACAAATATCACCCGTACTTACTTCAAATATCACCCGTACTCGCTATTTTCTGAAAAGTACGACCCGTACTTTTCACCTGTACTTGGCTCATTTTGGTACATTTATATACCTCAAATATGTTTAAACAGGAATGGCCATGTTATTGAAAATATGGAAAACTAATCTGGTTTCTCATCTGTGTATAGTGACCACTTCATTAAAATGGTCTTTATAAAAAAGGAGGTTGGATTATTCTTTCAAACTCCTACATTTGATATAATATTTGTCCAGAAAATAATGAGCCATTACAAAAACACATTAATTCAAATTGATCAAAATCAAAATAAGTTTGACTTGTGGAAATTAAAAATTGTTTCATGAACTGAATGCTAATTATTATTATTTTGGTCTCTAAATAAAGGCAAATATGCAAATATATTGCTGTTTGAGGGCGCACTTCCTGTACCAACATATAGTAGCACTCTAGATAAGCCTTGTCAAACCACTAGCTCATGAAATCTGTCTTGCATAAAACTTTTGCAAGCTTTTATGTTTTTGATGCCATAAACAAATATTAAAATTATATTTGATCTTTAGGTGCCGCATAAACGAATAGATACCATAAAAATGGTTTAAAAAAATGATGTCAAGAGAATGAATTAATAGGATACAAATCAGCATTGGTAGGTTTAGGGAGTATTCCACACACTGTCAGTGACGTTTCGATTTTTTAGAAATTATGCAAATATGTTCAAAATAATACTGTGACATTCATGTAATACCTGTGATGGACACCCCCCAAAATGTAATGTGAGTTTTGTTGGAATAATTAATTATTTAGATGCAATCAGAAATTAAAAAATACACAACTGAGAAGTTCCTCAATCCTGTAATCTTATGATACATGGTCATGCAGCTATCCAATCAAATACCTAAATTCACACTTCAGATCACTCATGGCATCCATAAATTGTAACTTTCAACCTTTCTATAACATGGCCTGACTTCATTCAAGTTGAGTGATGATTTCTAATTCCATCTGCGAGGACTGAAGTAATGTTTTATATACATCGTTTAGAAACACTTTTTTAATTGTTACATTCTTGTTATGTTTATGTTTTGAGTGAAAAAGATTGAAGTTTACATTTTGTAAAATCATCATTGGTACGAGGTGTTGTGATGCATAAATCAGAGGATGTCGCATTTTACAACATGTTTTGTTTTGTTTTTTTAATAAAAAGTTAAAGCGCAAATTAATAAAAGGATACAATTTCATGTGGTGTAACAAAAAAAACTGTAGCACTTAATTATTCTACAAACTGTCTCTCTTTATTTTGAGAGTACCAACTATGAAGCCATTCATCATGAAAATACATATGATTAGAATATACAAAATTATATCATTTGTGTTACATATTGAGAATATTTGCTTACTTTTCAATATCTGTTTTGTTCCAGTGCTGCTCAAGCATCTGTTGACTCAAATATTGATGATGTTTGTAAATTGCTGCGTAGTACAGGTTACTCCTCAATTCCAGGTTCCCGGCGACCACCAAACTATCCGGAGAGTTACTTCCTGTAAGTTTCTTCTTAAATGTTTTTTTTTTCAATGAATATCTTTATATAAAAATTGTAGTGTCTATCAGACAGAAGATTTGTGCTTCAAATTCAACCCAGTAATCTTGCTAAAATGTTGGTGCAATAATTTGCACACTATGTCATTGATGATTTTGGGCTTAATATAAGTAATTCTCAAGTGGATATAGGTCTTATTCCAAATTTTCAAAAAAAGTATTGAGAAAAGTGTGCAGATATATTTAGTGAATTGTGACGTAAGTTTGCTTTGGCATTCAGATTAAAGGGTCAAGGTTCAAAGAGTTAAACCACAGTACATGGAATGTTAGTCATATCTTTAATCGAGAAAATGTGGATCAAAAATGGTTATTTTGTGTGGTTGCCGTGCAGTGTGAATTTCATATAAACAATGTATTTGACATGCATTGTGTATATCACAAACAGCTCGCAAGGTTATGAAATATTGCTCAGTTATTATCTCCGGGAGATAACCCGCCAAATATGCTTATCATTCAAGAAATACACCACAAAAAGTTTCAATTCTCTGAACGTATTCTCTGAACGTACAAAGAGCCATGGTTTTTTAAAAACACTAGTACACGTAGAGTGATAATTCTGAAAAAGTATCACCCTGAATTCCATGTTGAGCTTGGGTTTTATTCTAATACCATAAGTTACAGCATGCCGTAATTTTGTGGTATTGCACTGGGTATTTGCAACCTACCATATTAGGAAATACGATTACGGGCATAAGTGTCTTCTTATAATAAAACCACACAAAGAAGTTCTCTAAATCTGTTCTGAACATTTTGGATTTTGACATTCCCATGATGTATCCTTGGGAGAAAAATATGTATAATAATAAGGGTATCACAAGGATACCGCAAAGTATGCCCTCAGGCAGTACAGTGAGAGTATTGTACTGTCTGAGTACAAGTTGAAGGTGAGATCAGAAAAATAATTGAATTGTATAGATGCAAAAATAGGACTTCAATCTGTTGAGACCTTTTATTTTTGTGGTGGTTTCTTACTTTGGATATTTTGTATGTTCAGTTTTTGCTTTGTTTTTCAAAGTAGTGGTTCTTTCTCTTCTGTATGGTTAATTCAGTTTTCATTTACTTTTTTCCCACCATTTATAGGAGAGTTCCGATAAACAGACAATTTGTAAGCATGCTGATTGGACGACTGAGGTCAGATGACATTTATAACCAGGTAAACACACAGAATATTATTCTATGTTGTTTTTTACTCCATGTATCACTCAGCTAAAATTAACCCAATGAGCAACACATGGTTATACCTTATGTAACTTGACATATTCTGTTAAATCTGTTTCCCATGAATGCTATTAAAAGGATACAATGCAACAGGGGATGCCACTTCTAAAGGAGCATCTACACAAGAAAAATGATGAATTCTTGGTTCTCAATTTATGTGGCTTCTATTATTCTGGGAAATGGTTTGGGTTTTCTTAAAATCCATTTCCCAGTTGTAGAGGAGCTGTTTGCAATCATGTATAACATTCTAACATTTGAGCATTCAATAGACACCACTGATCATTTGGTTCAGTATTATCTAAATAAAACATTGAAAAAAATGGGCTCTGACTAAGAAATAGGAAACATATATAATGGAGCCTTGATACCTGACCTTATGAGATTCTCTACAGCATTCTGTATTTTTTATTACAATAATAACTCTTTTTTCTAAGCTGCATCTCAGTAATTAGCAGTTCTTAAATAATTTTAATTAATTAAATAATTATTTAATTAATCAAATGAGTATTGTATTTTTTTATGCCCAGAAGAACATATTTTTAAATTCATTTAAAAATTGTCTTATTTTGATTGATTTTTTATGACAAAACATGATAATTTGTAATTTGTTGCAGGACACCAGAATGCTGAATATTCAATATTTTTTTCTGGGCCATATTTGTTTTTTCATTTTACATTTTTATTGAGCATGAGTGTGTGTTTCAATACAATTCAAATGACCCCCTATGTTACTCTGGTTTTTGTTCAGATCTCTGCATATCCTTTTCCTGAGCATCGTAGCACAGCATTGGCTACCCAGGCATCTATGTTGTATGTCATTCTGTACTTTGCACCAGAGATCCTTCACCAACAGCAGGCAAAGATGAGAGAAATAGTAGACAAACATTTCCCGGATAACTGGGCAAGTCATTTTTGATTTATGAATTACTTTCTCTGAGCTAGAAAGCAACTTGTACAATGCATCGATTTATACAAACAAATTTGAAATTGATAGTAAATTTCAGGCAAGGGTTTACATTTCAATGTCATTATATATTTTGTTGTCTAGGTAACCAGTATATACATGGGTATACCAGTGAACTTGATGGATGCTTGGGAGCCATATAAAGCAGCAAGAACTGCCCTCAATAATACACTAGACCTCAGTAATGTCAGAGAATTGGTAAGTGATGTGTTCATTTGATGTTAGCACGTACGCCCATCCGTATAAAACAGTAAGAACTGCCTTCAATAATACATTAGACCTCAGTAATGTCAGAGAATTGGTTAGTAGTTTGTCTGTATTTTAATTGTAGTGTGTATTCTCGTTTTAGGCTGCTCGATATGCCACTAAAGTTCCCAAACTAAATGACCTTGTGAAGCGTTACTTGCAAGAAGGTACATTAACTGAAGAGTATGTTTTAGATAACATCCCAAAGTTGATGAACTGTCTTCGGGAATGTAACGTTACAATTCGGTGGTTGATGCTACACACTGCTGAAGGAGGTAAGGATGCCCTCTATCATTTCTTAAATAGAAACTCCTGTTTATTACGCCCTCTACAAACTCATAAATAAAAACTCCTGTTTTTAGCAGGAAGTCATAATACTGTAACTCTCCTTAAGTTATTGTGGCCTCTATGAAAAAAAAAAACATTGTAAAAATGAATTTTTATTATTATGACTTTGGCCTCCCATTGCGTCCGTGGCTACTGTAAAGTACTTTAAATTTATTCTTCGCTGAATCAGTGAAAATACCTGTTTTCCTATATTTTACATTTAACACCTCAAAAATCAGTGACAATATATTTTATGCAAAACGTCCAAAATTTCTTTTCAGCAAAAATTAATTCCAGTGAAAAATGTTTACAGTAGTGATTGATTCCACCATGATCTTAAGTAGTATTTTACTATGCCACTGATAATCACTGAATTTATCGCTTCCTATCAGCTTGGGATAACAATAAAAGATGCCGTCAGTTGAAGGAGCAGGTGTTATTAGATAGTAAATTCAATCCACAAGTCTTGTTTACGCTCCTCTTGAATACCGGGCAGTTTGAACTACAGCTGAAGGAGGTAAGAAATATTTAAGACAAATTTTCATCGTCTGATTCTTGTTATAATATTTGATCATTTTAATTAAAAGTTTATGATAATAAGGGTTTGCAACTGAAGTTAGGAGAGTCGACCACAAAATCACAAAACAACCATTATATAAATGCAAATAAATTTTCAAAAACTACTTTTTTTCTTCGTTTGTGTTTTTGCATTCCTGACTATGGCGATTTCCTTGCTTCGTTCTGATTTCATACTCAATCATTTCCATGGTTACCATCAAGCAGCCATGTCATTCAGAGATACCATTGCTTTGAACCAGTTTGATTGACAAGCATGTGGAACTCATTTCATATTGCCGTTTATTTGTATGAATTTGCCTAATTGTATTTTTATAAAAATGCTGTCATCATTCAACTAACTCATATCAGTCTCTGACAATTTGCACACAAATTATCTTTGGCTATAGCGTAATATTTTCATTTTTTTGAGGTATTTTGGTAATTGAAACCTAACACTCACTTCGCTATCTTTTAAGATCTGTGTCAAATATACCGCTGACTTCTTCTGGGGTTGCCTATCCATTGTTCTTTTAATTATTTTATTTTTGTCCTACCCCTGCCTGTTTTTAGGGAGATTATGCATACGCAAAAAGAATGAAATTGCGTCTGATGGTAATTCAGGAATCAGGAATTGTGCATTCAACTGTATTATAATTAGTTTTAATTATATTTTAAATCTTCCCACAATGCAACAGATGTTCAGACATATGTTGGACAATAAGAAAGATAAGTGGGAAGCTTACAAGAAAGAGGGATCAGAAAGAATGGCTGAATTATCAGAAGTCTACTCTGGTAGCAAACCCTTAACCAGGGTAGAGAAAAATGGTAAGTGAGAATCCTGGTTACTATGGTTACTCTGTACAAAAGTATGCAGTTCACATTTCAATTATTTAGGCATTGAAATGTAATATAGATTACTATGGATACGGGGAAAAGTTCAACAACCTGAAAAATATTTTTATTTTTTTTATTTTTGAAATCATGCATTCTGTATTCAAATAAACTCTAGGTGTTCTGAAAACATTTATGAATTTGCTGAAATGCTATGCTTTTTTTCTTCACAGAACAATTCTATTGATATCACAAATTTTCTAAAACTTTTGAACAGATTAAATTGTCGTTTGGTATATGAATCCATTATATGTATTTGTTTAAATATCTACATGTTCAGTTGTAAATAATGAATGCTTTATGTAACTATTACCGTTAGTAACTCTTTGAGGGGCACAATTGCTAAAATTAAAAGCATCATTTTGCATTTTTATCCATTTTTTTTTTTTTTAAATGAGGAAATGTCTCTAAGCAAGAAATAAAGATTACCACTATTGAATGTTGCTATCATATTAAAATAATGTTGACATCAGAATGGAGTGAGTGTGGTGGGGTAGAGTTTGTTGTAATTGTCAATAACTGTAGAAAAATGTAACAACTTGAAAGAACATCTGTTGAAAATTTTCAATGACTGTGGTTGATGAATTGTGCAGTAGTCGCACGGGAGCACTGATTAGAATCTTGTTTGTTTGATTTTTCAGAAAATTTGCAGGCATGGTTTGCGGAGATGGCTAAACAGATTACATCATTGAATTATGATGACTCCACCTCTGCTGGTAGGAAGATAGTTCAGCTTATCCAGGCACTGGAGGAGGTAATTCACAAACATTCAAACTGTTCACTTTCTCAAGTCTTGAGGTCAGAGTTGAAAAGTGTTTGTCATGTTTACCATACTTTCATTATTGTTGGTTCATGCCATCACAAATACCATCAGACAATTTTTCAAAATACAAAATCCAAAAAATTAAATTTTGTATTTTTACACTATTATTATTTAATGTATATCTCAAAACATTTAGACAAATTTACATGTAATTTTAGTCGGTTGTTGTGCATGTATCACAATTTTGTTATCATCAGTGTTGACTCATTTCTATAACAGTATTCAGTGTATTTTTACACAAAACTTGCATATTCAATTCCAAGTATCCTACATTAAATTTATATCTAACCCTCTCTCTCTAAACCCTCTCTCCATTCTAGGTTCAAGAGTTCCATCAACTAGAAAGCAATTTGCAAGTTCGTCAGTTTCTTGCCGAAACTCGTAGATTCCTGCACCAGATGCTGCGTACCATTAACATCAAAGAAGAAGTTTTGATACAAATCCAGATAGTAGCTGATGTGCATTATGCATGGGAGCTCATTGATAGGTGGGTATAAATCATGTGACATCTTCTGGCTCTTGTCATTGGCTCATGCCGAAGTGAGTGGGGAACACTGGTTGATCCAGCAGAGGTTATATGAACTTCAAACTCTGCATCCTAGACCATCAATTTGGGAAAAGTTTGAATGATATGAATATGAATTTTTAATTTCTCCCTGTTTCATTATGGAACATCATGCCATTGTAAAATTCAACTATACAATGATGATCTTAGTATCCCCTAAAATTTCCATTGTGTCCAATTATGTTGTTCGAAAATCAAGATACATCTATGTTAGGTTGAATTATTGACTTAAATTGACTAAGGAGATGGACGTAAACAAAATCACATGAGGTGATATTTTGAATACTGGCATGGTTGAGCTGATGATTTTATTTCTCTTCACCCACTGGTCAACAGTATAGGCAGGTTTGTTCAGTCATGTATTAGAAATATGTTTGTTTATTTCAGTTATACTCGATACATGCAAGAAGGAATAAAACGGGAACCGTCTTTAGTCATCAAACTGAGAGCTACATTCTTAAAGGTAAGTTAACTTATCATATCCATTATTTATCATAATGTAACTTGCATTAAAGTGAGAGGGTTGTCACCTCCGCACGCGTGGGAATTGAGTCCCATGCGACGATAACAACACACGCTAAAAACACAAAGGCTCATGGGTAAACGCTTGTTTGTAAACAATGACATGCTATGGCCATCTGACACATGTGCAGGTGACGACTCCCCTGTTTTAACATTATGATAAGCAAATTGCAAGCATTATGTAAAAAAGATTTTAAAATGTTTGCAATACAGTATTCCTGTAAGTAGCGTACGCTAACGAGAATGTACTATTACATAAAAATCTTATTACTCGTGCCCCATGGTGACACCATACTTCTGTAAGGTAAACATTCCTGCAAATTACAACTTGTAGCGATAATGTACTTTCATGAAGTAAACATAGTATAATTCCTGCTCAATACCGACACCGCACTTCTATAAATATTTGTACAGTTTTTTTACACTAGATATTTTCTTATATTATTTGATGATTGACAATATTAAATGTAGAATGGTGTATTTGTTTGGCATACCGGTAAATTATCAATGTGGTTTATGTTTCTTTCGTTTAGTTGGCGTCTGCTCTCGATCTTCCTCTACTGAGAATCAACCAAGCTGGTAGTGGGGATCTGGTCAGCGTGTCCCAGTACTATTCAGGTGAACTTGTCTCCTATGTACGAAAAGTGCTGCAGATTATCCCAGAAACCATGTTTGGATTATTAGCCCAGATCATCCGTCTGCAGACGCACAGTATCAAAGAGGTGCCAACAAGATTAGAGAAAGAAAAACTACGAGAGTTCGCACAGCTAGATCAGCGATATGAGGTAAGCATGGTTGTATGGGTGAGATATTTCTTTAGGTCTCTTTAGGTTCTATTGTTCAATTATTGTCTGTTCTTTTTTTGGTCTTTAATAATAATAATATGCTTTATTCATCGTTGATAATCTCTTAGATATAAGCCCTTCTACCAGGGAGTCCAGCAATGTTGAAATGTACATTTCAGAAAGAAAGCACACAAGAAATATAACACAACTGAATTATTAAAAAGTTCCAAAATAAAGTCATATTTTAAAGCAATTCAAATTTGAGTCTCTATTTATGTAAAACAATTTTTAAAAATCAAGATTTGTGTATTACATCATCATTGTTCAAATGGTTGCTATGTAAGATTTTGTAGTTCTGTCATGTCTACAGATACTGGGATACAGTGTCACTTTAACAGTACTGAATTATGTTTGAACCAATCAGAAACAATTTGACATCTCTTATGTTAGGATAGCAAATTGTGAACGCTTGAATCTATTTAGCTAGGTAAAGCTATTTTTCCCAGTTGTCATGGAAACACAGTTGTAATGGAGAAATTACATCTTGCTGATAATTTTACGTTATTTTTGTATATTCAGGTTGCTAAGTTAACCCATTCAATATCAGTGTTTACAGAAGGTATACTGATGATGAAAACAACACTGGTTGGCATAATAAAGGTAAATATATCATTGCACGCAACTATAATTTGATTAGTTTGATAATGAACATTTTTATTAATCTTATACATTGAGAGTAATGGTAATACACTGTATCCTTGTTGTAACAAAAGCAAACTCTTTGTTATAGTGAAGTGTTCATTATAATGAAGCACATATTGCATTGGGTTTTTTATAGTCAAGTGTTCACTATAAGGAAGCACATAATACATTGAGTTTGTTATAGTGAAGTATTCACTATAATGAAGTACATAATACATTGGGTGTTATAGTGAAGTGTTCACTATAATGAAGCACATAATACATTGGGTGTTATAGTGAAGTGTTCACTATAATGAAGCACATAATGTATTGGGTTTGTTATAGTGAAGTGTTCACTATAATGAAGCACATAATACATTGGGTTTGTTATAGTGAAGTGTTCACTATAATAAAGTACATATTACATTGGGTTTGTTATAGTGAAGTGTTCACTATAATGAAGCACATAATACATTGGGTTTGTTATAGTGAAGTGTTCACTATAATGAAGCACATAATGCATTGGGTTTGTTATAGTGAAGTGTTCACTATAATGAAGCACATAATACGCTGGGTTTGTTATAGTGAGTGTTCACTAAAATGAAGCACATAATACATTGGGTTTGTTATAGTGAAGTGTTCACTATAATAAAGTACATAATACATTGGTTTTTATAGTGAAGTGCTCACTATAGTGAAGCACATATTACATTGAGTTTGTTATAGTGAAGTGTTCACTATAAGGAAGCATATAATATTATGTCTTCATTTTAATATTATGACTTCATTTTAATATTATGACTTTATTCATCTTCAGATTGATCCTAAACAGCTTTTGGAGGACGGTATACGCAAGGAATTGGTACGCCAAGTAGCGAGAGCTTTGCATGAAGGTCTCATATTTAACCCTAAAGCAAAGGTAAGAAACATTTACAGACAATAACAATCAACTAGTCCTTATCATATTCAGGTGTCAGATTGTGTTTTGATTATGTTGACTTGTTTCAATTTGGTTCATGACATCACCAGCTGGAACTTAAATTGCACCAAGTGAATTCAAACTTGTCAGAATTGGTTATCTGTCGTCATCTTACTTCATCAATCATGTTATTGTTTTGTACTATCTTGCCTAACTGTTATTGTTTTGAACTATCTTGCCTAACTGTTATTGTTTTGAAATATATTGCCTAACTGTTATTGTTTTGAACTATCTTGCCTAACTGTTATTGTTTTGAACTATCTTGCCTAACTGTTATTGTTTTGAACTATCTTGCCTAACTGTTATTGTTTTGAACTATCTTGCCTAACTGTTATTGTTTTGAAATATATTGCCTAACTGTTTTACCAAACTGTCATTGGTGTGCCTATTAAACTGTCATTCTTCTGTTTTGTCTTACCTAACTGTTATTGTTTTTACTTACTGGCATTGTTTTTCCAAACCGTCTTGCCTAACTGTCATTGTCTTGAACTGTCTTGCCTAACTGTTATTGTTTTGCCTAAGACAAGGCATAGTAATGCATTAGTTTGTGATATAAATCTGTAGGTAAATGAGTTGCCTCCTAAATTGGATGCTCTTGGTGCACGCATGGATGGATTCCGCATTTCATTTGAATATATCCAGGACTATGTCAGTATTTATGGATTAAAGATATGGCAGGAAGAAGTATCCAGAATTATTAACTACAACGTGGAACAAGAATGTAATAGTTTCTTGAGAACCAAGGTATTAAAATATTAAATATTATTATACATCTGTCGCCGTAACGCCATAATATACAGCGTGTCGTAATTTTGTGGTATTTTACGGGGTATTTTCATCCTACCATATTAGGAAACGCAAATTCCAAATATGGAATGATTACGCATGTAAGCGTCCTCTAATAATAAAAACAAACATGGCTGCCACCAGGGTTTGACCAGATTCCACACAAAGAAGTTCGCTGATTCTGTTCTAAACATTTTAAATTTCGGCATTCCCATGATGTATCCTTGGAAGGAAAAGATGCATAATAATAAGGTTATTACAAGTATACCTCAAAGTATGCACTCAGACAGTACACCGTTGCATCGACCTCTGCTGCGCAGCGCTGTACTGTCTTCGTACATACTTTAAGGTATCCTCGTAAGAGCCTCATATTATAACATACCATTGTCCATGTTTAGACATTATGTTATGTCATTGCTATTAGACAGTGTCTGAATCGGTTTTGCGGAGGTTTGTGTTCTTAAAAATTAAGCATATTAATACATAGCACTTTTCATGATATATGAACTTTAAATATTTGTTTCCAACTGACTCAGTGTGTTATCTATGCATCTGGATTTGGGTGCTAAACAAACCAGATTAATTAATACAACTGCAGATTCAACATGTAACACCTACTGATAGTATATCCTAATAACAATAATAAATTCCCACATTTCTATATTTTATTCAAAGTTGTATCTTGCATGAAATCAATTTCTCATTCAGTATAGCACTATGCATTCATTATTGCTATAATAAAAATTGAATTCACCGTAACTACTAATTTTGGTTTATGTCACATTTTATGACATAAGTTAAGGACTTTCAAACAGTTTAGAATATAATTATAGGTTATAATTGGCAAGCAAGATTATTTGGTAGTGCTATACGACGTCTCTGGGAAAAATTAGCATATTTAGCAGGAGATAATAACCGAGTATAGGTCCCATACTACACATAGCACTATAAAATCTTGTTGGTTCAAAGCTTTTTTTTTATTTACACAAAATTCTCAAGCTGTTAAATGGACATGGCTACAACAACCACAATCCTTTAATAGTTTAAAAGACTGCATTATAAAGTATACTTTCTTAAATAATTCAAAATTTATTTTATAATGTACTGTATTTAGGTGTTAGATTTTCAGAGTGTGTACCAATCAACTGCCATACCTATTCCGAGATTCCCACCTGTCATGGGAGACAGTTCAGTGAATTTCATTGGTCGAATGGCACGGGAGATACTGCGCATGACTGATCCAAGGTATGCACTCATTGACAACTAAATACTGTAAAATACTTTATTTCAACTTCGAATTTATTTTCGCTATCCAGTGAATATAATCTTTTCCTATATTTCAATCCAACTCATCAAAAATCAGTTAAAATCAATTCCATACAAAATACCAAAAAAGCCTTTACACCGAAAATTAATTTCCAGCTAAAATAAAGTATTTTACAGTATGGTGGTACTAATTAACATAAAATAAACTATCAAATGTTCGTCATTAGAAACATTTCCCAAATTTTGTAAAATTTTTCAGCAGCAAGTTGTTTTTTACCCACAAAATTAATTAATGTATCAATGAAAATTAAATGAAGTTGCATAAAAATAACTTTTTCTGAAGTGCAAAATAATATTCAGAAATTGATTTTGACTGCTTGTTTAATTTATTTGTAACAGAAATTTCAAGGAAAACTTCTGTTTTCTTTTATTGTTTATTAAGATTGAAAATAGTTGTATTGTTGGCAAAACATAGAAACCTTTTCAATCTGAGTAACATGGCTAAAAAACAAACCTGAATATTACAGCATCTAAAACCTGACACTTTGCATCATTTATTGGTGGCCGGTAAGTTAGTATTTTTCTTCACTACAGTAATTTCTGTAATGCTTTGTAGTTTGACCTCACGAGTGTGCTAAACACAATTAACCTAGTCAGTAAGTAATGTTTAAAGTTTGAGCACAGTGGTAAGATCAATAATAATAGCTATCTTATAAATTAAATTAAATAAGAGATGGACCTAATTGGTGTACAGGAAACAACTCAAGAGTGTGGTGTGAATCTCCAGGTAAATTCTGGTAAATGTTTCCCATTGAATTCCATAATACACTAGTAGTTTATCTTCATTCATTGAACAGGGAATTTGGCATGCAATTTGTTTACTTGATAGCATCCTAAGATGCTGAAAAATTAATCACAACCAGATCGACATAACTGCGCACTGATCATCAGTTATTGGTAAAGCAGACATTTTGCAATACCCGTAGCTGTTGTATTTATTACAGTACATATATTACTTAATATGACAAAACTTTAAAGTGGGGAAGTCATCCCCTGCGCATGCATTTTTAGCATGCGTTGTTATCGTCGCTTAGGTCTCAATTCCAGCGTGTACGCAGGTGACGACCCTCCCACTTTAAATGAAATTTTGCTGACAATACTACTTTAACATGAAAATATTTAGCACTAAGACACTTTCCTAGGATTGTATGTGAAGTGAGACATTCATACGAACAGAATTAAACACTGATTTGTTTATTCAATACAGAACAACATGTTACATTGAGAAGAGAAACACATGGTACGACTTTAAAACTAAACAAGAAGTCATGACAATAAAGCTCTTCTCCAAAGTACAGGTATTAAATTAAATAATTTCATTTTTTTATATAAGAAATAATTTAACTGGCAGTAAATGTTCAGTACTATCCCAGCTGTCGTGTTACTTTTGACCCAAGGCAGTTGTGTTAACTTTGACCCAAGGCTATTGTGTTACCTTTGACCCAAGGCTATTGTGTTACCTTTGACCCAGAGGAGTTGTGTTACCTTTGACCCATAGCTGTCGTGATACCTTTGACCCAAGGCTGTCATGATACCTTTGACCCAAGGCTGTCATGATACCTTTGACCCAAGGCTGTCATGATACCTTTGATCCAAGACTATCATGTTACCTTTGACCCAATGCAGTCGTGTTACCTTTGACCCAAGGCTGTTGTGTTACTTTTGACCCATAGATGTTGTGATACCTTTGACCCACGGCTGTTGTGTTACCTTTGACCCAAGGCTGTTGTGTTACCTTTGACCCAAGAATGTCGTGTTGCCTTTGATCCAAGGATGTCGTGTTACCTTTGACCCAAGGCTGTTGTGTTACCTTTGACCCAAGGCTGTTGCGATACCTTTGACCCATGGCTGTTGTGTTACCTTTAACCCATGGCTGTTGTGTTACCTTTAACCCATGGCTGTTGTGTTACCTTTAACCTAAGGCTGTCGTGTTACCTTTAACCCAAGGCTGTCGTGTTACCTTTAACCCAAGGCTGTCGTGTTACCTTTTAACCCAAGGCTGTTGTGATACCTTTGACCCATGGCTGTTGTGTTACCTTTGACCCACGGCTGTTGTGTTACCTTTGACCCACGGCTGTTGTGTTACCTTTGACCCACGGCTGTTGTGTTACCTTTAAACCAAGGCTGTTGTGTTACCTAACTTAAAAACATGTACACATTTATATTTCATTCAACTTTGTTGAATCCTATACTTTTCAGAGAAGTATTGGTACCTATGGTCTGACTGGATTGGATAGGCTTCTCAGTTTCATGATTGTCAAGGAGTTACAGAACTTTGCTACTATACTGAACCGAGGTGTTCTTCGTGACAAGGCGTGGTTGGAGTTTCTTGGTACGACTATGAAGTCACTGAATCCTGTCAAAGGACTTGTCAGTGAGTACAGGGGCATATGCTTGGGGATCTATCTATCTGTATATTATATATAGTTTGCAATGCTATCACAGATCACTGTAGAGAAATTCACAGAGAGCTCCCCCAAAATCATGCAGTGTTACTTTATAAATTGCTAGGTTTATTTTGTGAAAAATTACTTTGGGGTTAAAAAGGAAAATTAATCTGTCCCTTTAGAAAACAGACACACACTCGTAATTTTCATGGAATTCGCATGTTTTTTGATGCTGTGTGCAGGGAACGAAGGGAGTCAGTCAGTCGGTATGGTTACTTTGTAGACTCGTTTGAGACTTTTTTTGAAAGATGAATATTTGTTGTACATTTCAGATAACGCTGGAAAAGTGTACGGACAAGCTGTAACAAAAGCTGCTAAATTGTGGCCACCATTCCTGGATGTCGTACTTAAGGCAAGCTACACTAAATGTTATTTAATAGCAAGCATGGTCGAAGGCAGCGCGTGAAGCGAGCTTTAGTCGTTTTGCTTGTTGTTTCACAGATTATGCAAAGCGAGACAGCTCATGCGTGATAAAGCATGTTCAGAATGTTGTTTACTGATAATGCGTTCGTTTTATGGCAATGGACAGAAAAAAGTTCAACTCTGAATAGTGTTTGGGGTCATTTTGATCAGTGGTGAAACACAAATCATGTTCATACGCTTCAACATTCTATGGCTATTTTTAGTAAATCAATAAACTACTCATCTTTGCTTGCTTTCCAGGCATGCTACATATTATTCTACTAGATATTAAAATACCATAAATAATAAATGGATGTGTTTTGATTCTTAGGTTGGTCAGATGCAGTTGCTACGACGACAGATTGCAAATGAGTTGAACTTCTCTTGCCAGTTTGATTCCATGTTTCTATTTGATTCATTGCAAAATTTGAACAAGTAAGTAGTTGGTCTTCTCAAATACAAATGCAGCAGTAATTTATCTCAGCTCAATTAGAATGACATTGCATTAGTACTGTATTTCCCACCCAGCATTAAGGTCCACTCTAGCAACCATTTTGAATTGAAAATTGGTTTCACTTAGACTTTAGATGCAAATGATTGCTGAGATTTTGTCAAGACCCAAAAAGCTTAATTTTTGCCCCCAAAACAGTGTTGTATTCTCTCTCTTCATCATGTCCATAGTTTGTTTGACCTACTGTAACCATGAAAAACTATTGTAATAGATGTGGGGG